TAATGGCCTGAGCCTTTATTCCCAGAACCCCCATAGTGGAGGGAGAGAGCTGACTCCTCCACAATATTCTCTGGCCTCCACATTCAAAATACAAAGGTTTTTTTGTTTTGTCTTGTTTTCATTTTTTATTTTGTTTGAAGAGAAAGAGATTTTTTTTTTCTCTTGTAGTTCATACTGATTTTCAATTCAACATGTAGACTAGGATGGTCTTGAACTCCTGTTTCTTCTGCTCTATACCTTACAGGTACTGGGACAGCAGGGGTTGTGCCACCATGCCCAGGACCATGGCAAAACTTGTTTCTGCTACTGATACGAAACACTGTTATTATAGGTCTTTCATATACATATTGACTTTTTATCCATACATGTAATTCTTGAGACTTGAGCTGTACTGTCAACTTTGGAATAAAAAAAGTCTTAGATCCCTAAATTAAGCCAGCATCACATAGGAATTAACAACCTGATTACTTTGCAAGCATTATATTACTTTTCTTTCGAGCTAACATAGCACATTGTTAAGTACAGACAGTCTTCAATACAGACTCAGAACTGTACTATCGAGTACAGCAAATCAATAGGTCTGAAGCTTAGTGGGTAGACTACTTGCCTAGCAAACACAAAGCCCTGGGTTCTATCACCATCACTGTATAAACTGGGTGTAGAGGTGCACACTCTGATCTCAGCAGTCCTGTAATGGAGGCAGGAGGATCAAAAATCCATTGTCAGCTGATAGTGGTGGTGTACATATTTAATCCCAGCACTCAGGATACAGAGGCAGGTGGATCTCTGTGAGTTTGAGGATGGCTTGGTTGACAAATCGAGTTCTAGGACAGCCAGGGCTACACAGAGAAACTCTTTGTCTCAAAAAGGGGGGAGGGGTAAAAAGTCCAGTATATTTGTCAGCATGTCAAATTCAAGACCATTCTGGGCTTTATTCAGCCCTGACTCAAAATAAGAAGACCAAGGGAAGAGATGTCTGATAGAAGACTCTGGTCATGTTGCTGGAGGTGGGGGTGTACGTTTCATTTGTAGAGCGATGCCTAGAGGAGTGGGGGAGATTGGTTTTCAGTGTCTGTGGATCGCCAAAGGCTATCAATTACACCATGTCCCCAAAAATGGGTGCTTATGCTCAGACAGCCCTTTTCATATTAACCAGCTTCAGAATGACTTGAAGACAAATTCCCAAACCATCAGTTCTTTCCTGCAAGTGAAATAGTTGCTCACTGAGTATGGGTTTCCATTCTCTGAAAGAATATAGGAGCTGTAGCAAGGATTTTCCTTTTGGGAAACTCCTTGAGCGGGGGCGGGGGATGAAGTGGGGGTTGAGTCTGGTCTGTAGCCCTGGCTCTGTGGACAGTCTGGTCTCCTATGCTAGTGGGAGTGGCCTAAATTTATAAGTAGATGTGAGCCCAGTTCCAGGGATCAGTAGAAAATTCCGATGAGGCGCCTTCTAGGCTGAATGAAACTCCCAGGAACAGGGAGTGACTAGGTGTGGCTGGAAGGGGAGGCGTGGCAGGAGGTGAGCCCCAGACTGAACAGGAAGCTTTTTTTTTTTTTTTTTAAAGCAGGTGGCCAGGGCCTGTGTGGTCTCATGATCCAACCTAGTCTGGTCATCACAGTGATGCCTCTGTCTTTTCCTCTTATTCATGTTGGTATTATGGGGTGGGAAGAGTAGATAGATTTGCCACCTCAGGCCTATATGTACACAAAGGAGCCATAAGGTATAACCTGGGAACCTGATTCCACACCCTTTTTTTTTTAGACCTCACCCAAAGAGCTGCCCTGCCTGTGTGCCACTGCCTGTACACATAGTGACAGGCAGATAAGAATGGGATGGGTGTAAGTTTCTTTCTGCCTTCCTCTTTGAATTTAGTCCAGATAAGAGGACCATTCCCTACATAGACACCTGCAGCCTTGCTCTTACAGGGAACAAAGTCAATATCACTTCTCTGTGTTAGGTTACTTGACTGTGTTAGAGCACTTGCTTGCTCAGCCCTGGTAGGTGAAGTTTGTCACCTGTAGCCCCAGGCAGTTCTGATCAGACAGTCAGCCCCAAAGTTCTAGCACTTCCTTCCAACCCTGCTCTTCCCTGGAACTCTGCCAAGCAGAGGAAGTCTGGACTGAATCTAGAAGAAGTGGACTTGGGAATAGTCTGCTCTGCCTGGATATGCCTGAGAAGGCTCAGGTGGAAACCTGGAAACAGAAAGTGCTGCCACCGGCAGCACTGGCTATGAGCACTAAATAAGAACAGCCACCTAGGAAAGATGAGCTAAGGACTAACACATATTTTAGGACAGCAACCATAGGGAGAAGGCAGAAGAAAGGGGATCATAAGGAGGCTGTCAGAATTCTCAAAATGTCCTTATTCCAGACCATTAGAGAAGACTTACCCAGGGAACTGGCAGTCTCAGCTAGAAACTTGGCCTCTCTTAAACCTCATGGGCTGAGGATGTGGCTTGACTGGTAGGCCAAGCATACATGAAATCATGGGTTCGACCCCCAGCACTGAATAAACTGGACAAGGAAACACATCTGTGGAAGCAAAAGGATCAAGAATTCAAAGTAATCCCCAGCTAAATAGTGAATTCAAGGGTAGTCTGAACTATGTGAGATCTTGTCCTGGAAGGAAACAAAGAAGAAGAAAAACTTAGTATCTACTTACTTAGTGGATTACTTAAACCCACTTACTCTTGTCTTCTTGGGACTGGGTTTGAACTCGCTGCCTTTGTGGAAAAGTCACAGAAAGGAGCGCTTAGAACCACACAGACTAGGAATTAGATTCCTGGTGCTGTCAGAGTGGCTTAAACACAGAAATGATTGCCTTCTGGTCCTGAGACTAAAGGACAAGGTGAAAGTCTGAACAGGGTTGGTTCCTTTTGAGAACAAGGTAGTGGCAAATGATAATCCTTGGTATGTAGAAGCAGAAGCCCAGCCTGTCTTCCTCTGTCAGTGATAGTCTCCCTGCGTATGTCTGCTAGAAAAAAACATTTCGGTGTTGCACAAACACATGAACAAGGTGTAAGTAACCTGGCAAGGCAATTTCTTTTTATGAAACGTGTGGATCATGACCAAAACCAGGCTGCAAACACATGGGACGGGAAGTTCGCTTAGTTTTTATACTAAAGCGGGTGGTGATTCTGTGCCATCTCATTGGTGATAGCATGTCTGTGTCCCCCTCCATTTTACTGTGAATGTGTGTGTGTGTGTCTCCCCAACCCTCAAGTCACCCCTTTCTATAATGTCCTGTTAGGTTAAAGTTATCACCTCAGAACCTGTAGTAAGGCCATATGCATGGCTGTAAGGGACCTAGGGGTCATTTTTTGTTTTGTTTTGTTTCTGTTTGTTGACTTTTTGGTGTCTTTTGGGGAGGAGTTGTTTTTCAAGACAGGGTTTCTCTGTTTAACAGCCCTGGCTGTCCTGGAACTCACTATATAGACCAGGCTGACCTGAGACTCACAGAGATCCACCTGCCTCTGCCTCCTAAAAGCTGGGATTAAAGGCAGGCACCACTACTGCCTGGCAGGGGTTAGGACTCATAGGTAGTTCCAGACATACAATTCAGCACACCCCTCTTAGACTTGTAAACAGCTTCCACAGGGATCTGAAAGGGAAGCCATTTTAGTTACCCATAGCAAGAGTATCTGGGAAATGCAGGTACCTCCCTGGCCTGTGCTGTGATGGTTTCTGGAGCCAGTGCGGGGATCAAGGCACAAAGGCAGCTAAATGCATAAGAAGTAGTCCATCCTAGAGGCAAGCCAAACATGGTTTTGGATACCTTTCTCAGCTCTTGGAGGTAGAAGCTGGGGGATCCAGGGTTCAATTTTATTTCTAGCTACATAGTAAGTTCAAGGCCAGCATGGACTACAGGAGATCCTGGAGAGATGGGGAAAGAGGTATTTGCCTTGTAGATTATTTTGGGACAACATCCCCCCCATCAAATTACAATTTTTTTTTTTAATGAAGGGAGAATAGAGTCTGAATTTTAAACAAGTGACTTCAGATGTTGATTTTGGAACACTTGTTAGAAGCTGCTGTTTTTTGCAGTGTCACTTGCCTGCCCTGTGTTAGAACTCCTGAGACCAAGGAGCCTGTGTCCCCCACTCTTCAATGGTTCACCTTCCTTTCTCAGATTATTCTCAGCCCTTAACAGACTGTTGCCTGGCCCAGGTGAGAGGCCCTGTAATTAAGACCCATCTTTTGCCTCTTTAATAACACAGGAGAGAGAGTGATCCTAGGTAAGGCCAGCAGGAAACTGTAATTCCAGGTCCTCTTCCTGAGTTGGTATGAATTTAGTGCATGTGAAGTCTTGCTGCCTCAGGAGCAAGAACTGTCTGTTGGGTTGGCAGCTGTATGGCGGGAGGTAAATAGCATAACAAGACAGTCTGAAACTCCTTGGAACCCCAGTCTACTTGGGATTTCCTACTTCACCTTCCGTGATATGTAGACATGGGCTGAAGAAAATGAGCTCGGCTGGGTCTTCATAAGACAGCACAGACACAGAGCCTCCCCAGTGCCTACTGGAAAACACCAGCAGTGTCCTTAACTTATTTTTTTCTATGCCTCATACTAACTCAGCATGCTCCAATTTTCCCCATTGGTCATTTCTCAAAGCTTCCACATTGTCCTCTAGAATGAGGACAGAAAGATTTACATGGTCTTCCAATCCCAGCCTCTTCCTGGGTATCTTCTACTGTGATATATATCAGGTAAATGTTATCCTCTTCCATGTATAGGGATGGCCTCTTGGATTCTTATCCCACTTGCCCATCCAGTGTCATTGCCAATGAGTTCCATGTATGTATATTTGTGCTTTCTCCCTAAGACCCTTGCTGACTGCTCCCATGTCCATGACTTTCTATAGCCTTATCCATGGATCTTAACTTTTATTCCACAACTAGAACATAAGCAAATATGTGAGGTAGGAGGATTAGGAAGTTCTAGGCTACCTCAGGCTATATAGTAAGACATTTTGAATTATCTCTTGTCTCCTTTCCTTTCAGATTGATGCACTGAGTAAAAGAAGCAAAGAAGCAGAGGCGGCCTTCTTGACTGTGTACAAGAGATTAATTGATGTTCCAGGTAAATCAGGCCATTGCTAGCCAGTGAGAAGAACATTGTGTTTGCTTAGTTGTGACGGTTAGTAACTGTTTTTAGTTTTCCTAAGGTGAATGGATCATTCATGCAGCGTCCCTGGGAAACCAAGGGGTTTGAAGATTGTGAGGTCTTTAGAACCCAGACTTTGGGCAAGCAGGAAGATGCAATATGTGTGTAATCCCAGGCTCACGTGCTGATTCCTCTGTAAGCACAGAAGCCCATGCCTGTGGCCATGCTGCAGGATGTATGTGTCGCATGAATGTACAGAATGATGTTAAGTGCTCTGCAGTGGTCTCCCAAGGGCAGCTGCCCCCTGCAGGACCTTTAAAGTGATGCTTACAGCGCACCTGATTGCTCCACTCCCCTCCAGGGTCACAGAGGATCAGTGACTTCTGGGAAAGTATCTTTTCACTGAAGGGTTAAAGCTGACAGCCCCATTTACTGTGACTAAGTATTTGAGCTGCATCTTCTTTTAAAGGCATGCATTCAAGTTGAAGTGCTCCTTGTCAGGGATACCTCAAAGAGGTGCCATCCAAGTCCTTTAGGGCAGTGTGGTAGGTCCCTCATTCCTCAGCTTTCATGGGATTGAGAATCTGTCGGGACAGAAGGACATAATCACATGGGTCCTAGCTCTGCCCTGGAGGAAAAGTCACCTAGCTATCTTCCTCTGCTGACAAGGAAACCAAAGAACCCCCCCCCCCCCACACACACACACACTGCAGTTACATATTTGCCCTGTTTGATAATTGTGCAGACATCACCCATATGAGGCATGCCCTGGCAAACAAAGCAGAGCTTCTCTTTTGTGCCTGTACGAGTGTTGCCTTCCTTCTATGAAGGGCCTGGTCCATAGCACTGTGGTCACTGACAGCCACCAAGTCAATGCCACCAGAGTTCGCTCTTTTCTCTGGGAGCTGAACCAAACAAGGAATTCTCTGTATTGCTTTTCCTTTTGGATCTCAGTTTTCTCTTTTGTAAAATGGATAGGATATGGGAATGATGGAGTGGAGAATACTTTCCCATGTCCCACGTTTTTACTGCCTTAGTTTTTTGTCATGCTCTGAGCTCAAAATTCTGACCTTGGGATTTTCTGTAAGCGTTTGTATGTGAGAATGGGTTTTCTGAAGACTGTGCCCAAAACCAACAAGGAAACTTCTGTATTATAAATGGATTATTTGGTGCTTAGGGTACACTGCATGCCCTAGTTTGCTTATCTGTTGCTGTAATAAGACAGCAACCAAATCAATTTGGGATAGGAAAGCATTTATTTAACTTATATGTTCTGATCACATACATCTTTGAGAGGAGTAAGAACAGGGATCTAGAAACAAGAACTAAAGCAAAGACCATGGAGAAAAACTGCTTACTGGCTTACTCTCCATGGCTTGCTCAGCCTGCCTTCTTGTACAACCCAGACTTCCTGCTCAGAGGTGACACTGCTTACAGTGGACTGGGCCCTCCCACATCCATCACTAATCAAGAATTGCCCACAGGAGCAATTCTCCTTCCCATGGTTGCTCTAAGTTGCACTGTTCCTCAGGTGCCAGCAGTTTGATGAACACCTCTTACATTTTGGTTTTTTTCTCTTATTTTACTTTTCATTGTTGGCGGTTGAATCCCCCGGGACTTTGTACATGTTAATCAGCTTGGTTCTCTTATATGTAAGGCATCTGAGAATGTTTTCTCAAACCATGTGATGTCCACACTGACTCCCAGGATGCAGAATTTATAGGAAAAGTACAGTCATTTCCATACCATTCATTCTCCAAGTGTTCTCTTGGTTCCTCCTGCTCTCTGCTCCTGCCATCACTGCAGGATTCCACAGGAAAGGGTGTTCCAGATGGGAGCCGAGCCTGTCAAGCTGGGGAATTATTATTTTGTGGTCACAAAAGACCTACTTTCATTTTGACCTCGGCTGCTGTTTTCAAGCTAAAACATATTCTGTGCAAAGTCACGTTTGTACCAGTATTTTCCCCTAGTGAAGTTTCCCAGATAAGTAAACACTTAACAGGTTGTTGGATTCTTTATCTGAAATTATTTTCTAGCTTCGTTTCCCATAGAACACAAATATATTGTTTTCTCATTAAAGTTATATTTTATATATAAAGATCTTATATTTTTATAGTTGTCATAATTATCATATTGGACTGAAGAATTTTATTTTAACGTTTATTTGCTTGTGTACATATGCACATACATGTGTGCCACAGAGCATGTGTGTCCATCAGAGAACAACTTGTCAGAGTCTGTTCTCCCCTTCTATCATGTGTGTACTGGTAATCAAACTTGGGCCCACAAGCACCTTTATTCTCTGAGTCATTTCAACGGCCCATGTTTGGGTTCTGAGGCAGGGTTGTGCTGTATATTGAAGGGTGGCTTCAGTTTCACTACATAGTCCAGGCTAATCTCTGGCTCACCACAATCCTCCTGTCTCAGTCTCACAATTACTAGAGATAGAGGTGTGTGTTACAACACCAAGCTTGAACTATCAGTAGTTTTCAACCTGTGGGCCATGGCCCCTTTGTGGGTAGCATATCAGATCTCCTGCATATCAGATATTTACATTATGATTCATAACAGTAACAAAATTACAGTTGTGGAATAGCAATGAAAATAATGTTGTGTTTGGGGGTCACCACAACATGAGGAACTGTATTAAAGGATCGCAGCATTAAGAAGGTTGATAAAGTGTCTGTCTAGCATACATGAAGCCCTAGGTTCCATCTGTAGCTACGTAAATCCAGACACTATGGTAAATACATGTAATCCCAGCACTCGGGGTGAAGGAAGATCAGGAATTCAAGCTCATTCTTGGCTACACACCAAGTTCAAGGCCAGCATGGTCTACTGGAGGGCCTGTCTCAAAAAAAAAAAGAAAAGAAAATGTTTTCTTTATCAAACTCAACTCAGACACTTAAATCCCAGGTAGATCACTACCCTCAGCATGCTGTGCACTGACAGGTCTGACAAGTTTCCTAGGAAGCTGGGCTGGGGTGCTCCACCTGGGTCATGCAGTCTGGCGATTGCTTAGATGAGGTAATCCTGTGGCTGGGGCTTCCAGGAAAGGCCTGGTCAATAGCGCCTCATTTATTGACAGCCACCCAGCCAGGCAGGGGTCCAGGAGCCTTCATTGTCTGTGGGCTTTAGGCTGCAGTCCAGTAGAACACAGAAGGACTTGTGGACATATTGAGTTGTACTTAAGAGAGACAAGAACTCATATTATCAAGAAGCTTAGGGAAACCGACAGGTATGTCAGCTACATGCCCTGTGGTTCAGTGCCAGGAGCTCAGGCAAGGCAGGATTGCCAGCCCCGGGAAGAGCTGGGTCGGGTCCTGAGGTGGCACCAGCCGCCATGCCGCCTAGAGCTGTATTTGTTGTTTCTTCTTGCTCCTTGTTTGTGGAATCTACCAGAGGGAAAGTGCCGTATGGCCAAGGTCTATTCTCTTGCTCTGTGCCCACCAATAGGCATACAGAAAATATGAGCCAGGCAGGTTATAGAACCTCCAGGGACCCCAAGCCATTTTTAGCAGCAGTCACCAAAGAGATAGCTTCATCTCTGTCTAGCTCTCATTCCCAGGTGAAAGCCTGCATGCCAACTGTCTCCTGAACTGTCCATTGGGATGGCTAATGCCCCCTGTTCCCACCCAAGGGACACTGTCCTCTCCCTGGACCCTGCTTCTTTTGAGTGGCACTTTCTCTTACCCATATGCTCACCCAAGGACCATATAGTCACCCTGTCCTCCTAGCCTGTAGGATGTCTGTATCCCAGTTCCTGACACTCTTCTTTACATTGCAGGTGCCCCAAGCACAGTTCAGTTCACCTCTTGCTAGACCTGCAGATTAATTTATATGAGGACCCAGCATCCTAAAATGTTCAACCTTATCCTGACACATTTTGCTCTGACCTCATAGTCTAGATCTGTGTAGTTTAAGTAGAGAATTCACCATCTTCCTACCTCAGCCTCCCAAATGCTAAGATCACAAGCATGCATTGCCATACTCAGCTTCCTGTCATCCCCCTCCCTTTTGAGATAGGGTCTGATGTAGCTCAGAGCTACCCTCAAACTTGATATGTAGCTGAGGATAACTTTAAACTTCTGATCCTCCTGCCTCCCCAACCTGAGTACTGGAATTAAAAGTATGTACCACCCTTTGACTCCAGGATCTCATGCATACTAGACAAGCAGTCTGCCAACTGAACTACAGCCCAGGCATCTCACTGCCATTGTAACTATGGTTGCATGCTGCATAACAATGTTTTAGTCAACAAGGGAACACATATACAGTAACAGTGGTATTATAAGACTGTCACCTAGTGATTTCCTCCCTGTTTTTGCTTCTGTAATATTTCTTCAGAAATGACAGAATCCAGTAAACATTTCTCGGAATTTATCCTCATAGATGCTTGACTATACTTGCTAACTGGGTTCTTTTGGAAGGGACACTCAAACAACATGGCCCTGTTCCTAATCATTTCCCAGGCATCTACCCCAGTGTCTACCAAGTAGTAGAAATTTGGTAAATATTTAGCCAGTGGATGTACAAGTGGATGTATCAAATCATTTCTTCAAAGTGCTTTCTGAAGTCAGATGGGTGGTGCTATAATCCCAGCACTAGGGTTGTGGAAGCAGGATGCTCAGAATTTAAGGTTATCCTCACCTCTGTAAGAGTTTCACTATAGGGCAATATGAATGACATAAAACTGTGCGGGGTAAACTAAACACAGTATGTACTTAAGGTTTCCTTGGTCTGTAGCTTTCTTCAATCAAATTTATACCTTGCTCCTGTGGTTGACACCACCCATGGGAATGAACTCCCTAGAGTATCTAAAGTATCAGACAGCATCTACTGCTCCAGAACAGATTGTCTTGTCACTGCTATGGACAGGTTTAATAGCTCTCTGAATTTTCATTTAGCTTTTATGTCAGTCTATAAAGATTTTCATGGCTGCAAAGGTATTGAGACAGCCTTTCCATTTGGGGTCC